GTGGCGAATTAGCCTAAGTTTTTGCTAAGGTCAAAGCAAAGCACTGCGAAATTTGGCGTTCGAATTAAAAAATTTTATCATGTATAAAGTATTGAACTGTAATCTCTGGGTTTTAGTCCTTCCTGTCCCAAAGAGACGAAATTTGTACAAATTTAGAACTGTCTTCAGGACAAAAATATTCCGGATTGGAAGCCTCCGGGAAGCCGTATTCTTCTGATTTGCTCAGCTTGAGTTACCTAGCAGTCCCGTACACCTGTGGGCATTACCATAATATGCTTTATTCTTTAAGCTAAAGCCCATAAACACACCCGGTTCAGCTAACTGACCATCCCCCTACAGTACCCAAGTAATGAACAGCACCTTCCCAGAGTAGCGAGTACTTATTATAATGAATGAAAAGCTTTCTTGTGGCTTGACACTCGGTCCGTACTGTACCAAATGTCAAAGATTAATGATGCTTTTTAGTGGCTTTGGTACTTGGTCTTATAGTACCAAGTGCCATAGTCGCCAATAAGCCTCCTGTTCGTCCTTTACTGTTAGATAATGCTATCGAATTCTTTCGGCTTTCTCGGTAAATCTCTGTTCACAGCAAAATTTTCTGGATTGATCTCGGGAGCATTATTCAGGAGAAAAGCCGCATCAGTGTGAGGTATGCCAGAAACGCTTCAGCAGTACGTCCAATCTCAAAACACATCTGCGCCTTCATAACGGACAGAAGCCGTACCCGTGCGATTTGTGCAGCGCGAAATTCACGCAGTTTGTCCATCTGAAGCTCCACAAACGTTTGCATACCAATGAACGACCATACACTTGCTCGAGCTGCGGTCTGTTGCATGCTTATTAGTCACTAATTAACTAATTTTGATGCTTCTGGACAGCTGGAATTCATTGTATGGTTCTTCAGCTGTGCAGCTGACTGCTTTACCAGCTTGTAACTGACCACTGCTGCGTTATCTACTGGCCATTGTGCTGGTAGCCATTAATCTTTCTTGATAATTATGCTTATACTGCAAGTTTGCGTAAATACTTGGTTTGTGATTGCCATATTTTTCGGATGCTAGACCTCTTAATTACATGTTGAATTCCATTTTTTTGCTGAGGATAGGTTTTTTTCGGAAAGTTTATGGAGAATTGAGAATATGTGTCCCCACATCAAAATTACTCATCAGCTGGTGTAGAAATTCCATTTCTTAAAGATACTACTAGGGCGTTTCAAGTGTTACACATAGTTCTGCTAAATTGTCAAGTAATTCCTATTATTTTCAATTTAGCCAAATGAGTTGTTTTCCTGGCTATATGTCCCTCACGAATTTTTTGAAATGGACGCTAGCCATAATCAAGCTGTCAACCGTGACATTTATTGCTTCGGTTGCTCGACAGGTAATAGAGTCAAAGCACAAACCGTGCTCATCTTTTCCTCATGAAGTTCACGATAAATCACCGGTTGTGGTGACAAATTTCAGTTGAATTACAGAAATTTTTCAACCTATGAGAATGTTTACTCTCAAAATGCTTCAGTGAGAGGCATGCATTCAAGCTTCTAAGAACTGGACCATCATAATAAGCATCTCATAAATTTCTCAGAAGCTCAAATAGTTGCTTATTTTCATGAAATTTCCACAAAAACCGAAAAAGTTCTCACGTATGCTACGATGACGACCACTGAAACGGTGAGCCGATGGTATAGTAAAGAGACTGGATATCGAGAGGTTCTAACATAATGAAGATAAAAAGTGCGATTATTATTCGCCTACGATATCACTTACAGTGTCGAAGGTAGTTGAGGAAAAATGAAATTGCAGGAAAGAAGTACATTTCTCCGTCGGGCTTACGGACTCACTGGAAGTCGACGAGCTGCCGACCGGGTGGTACCGAATTGCACCTTATTGACCTGGACAGTGAGGAAGGCGCGGGAACACTGCGCGATGAGCACTGCGTTACGAGTACAACACCGGTACCGCGATGAACCAGCATTGCCACTACGGTTTTGGTAGCCAGCGTAGTAGTAGTTTGTTGGCGTGGGATCCGAGGTCACGTTCTCCTTTGCCTCCTGGAAATTTGGAATTATTTTTGGATCCGCCAGAAATTTGGATCCGCCAAGTGGCCTAGTTGTGGCTGAGTGACCGCTCTTCAACAGCTGTAGACTTTCGGTGTGATTGTATCTTACAGTTCTCTATGCTATCATTCCCATTATCTTTTTTCCTAAAGTTTAACATTCTTTTGTACAACTTTTGTCTGTTCTGGATTTCACATCCGCTAAGTTGTACGCAGAACCAAAGAATACGTTTGTTTTGTATTTTTGTCTCGATTAGTGCGTGAAAGTCTCTCATTCAGAATTTTACACTTCTGGAAGATCAAAAATTGGGCATTTGGCAACCGAATAAGCCTAAACTGTAGTTATACTTGGTGCCGAATTTGAGATTATTTGGGTGAAAGCATATTTGCAACGAAATTTCACCATCACTGGGGCCGTAATTGGAGTTTGAATATTCCACCAGTAGAAGAAGTCGTGACGATTCTTCAATTCAGTTCAGCGCTAAATTGGTACTAGCGCCTTCCAGAAAATCGAAACAGTTATCTACCTTTTTTAGAGTAACTGTAGGAAAAAAAAATGAGGTTATTGGCAGCTTTGCCAGCGAGTAATTGATGTTGGCTAAGAGTATTAGATTACTTTTTAGTATCCCCTTAATCACAATTAGAGAGAGTTTTGTCGTCTTTCAAATTTGATAGCTGTTCACTTGTATGCGCGCGATCTCCCCACTTCACACCCTCATCAAAATACAGCTGCTTTCTGTACATTGCCTTCTGTAAGACGAACCGAGAAGCCGAAATTCACTTCAGCAACATTTCTGCATTTGCAGTTAAGACAGATTTTTCAAAAAAATTAGCTCACAATTGACAAATAGCACACGAAGTATGGAAGAAAGGTCTGATGCCATAATACACGCACAAAAAAGTAGGTAAAATTAGGAACAGGGTTTAAATCAGAGACGCATTATGGCACACCATGTCTGCGCGTTTTTGCTGGATAATTCAGCTGTACTGCCGCAAAAATTGACGGATCCAGGTGTGGAGGGGAGGGAGGGGGTGGGGTCCTTCGCGCCCCCCCTCACCTCAGGGGGTTAGGTAGCAATTTTTTTTACTGCACAAAAGTTTGCTCAATACCCCCCTGTTGCCCTCCCCCCTCCCCCAGGAGTCTTCGAAAAGGGGAGGGGGCAGCGGACCGTAGAGCGTAGTGACGAGCGGGGCCAAGGGGTGGGAGAAGGTGGAGGGTGTAGTGACGAAGGGAGAGGGTGAGGTGAAAAATCGCCCCTCCCCCCTCCAGCCTCAGGAGACCGTCCTGGATCCATTTATGGCCATAAAGGCCAGGAAGCTAAAATTTTATGACCATCCTCTTCTCTAATCATTTGTGTATTTACAAGCCTAAATGCAAAATTTTAAATCGCTATTTTATTCATTCTCGAATCGCAACAGTAGCTCGGATTCAGAGACCGAATGCGTAACCTAAATCCATGTACCACTGCGCTTCGAAAATCAATAAAATTGTGATTTAAATCTATAAATTTTCAGTTTGCTAGCTGCGAAATTTTAGACCTCATATCTTTATCGTACAGTGAACTATGACCTCAAATCGAATTCATGCTAACTCGAATCCGGTTTTCTTAGGCAATTTATGCGTTGAGCCAGAATTTAGAGGTTTTGAGAGATTAATTTATTTTATAACTACATAATTACATGGAAATAGCTTTAGCTTGCAAAACCCACTGCATCTTCATTTATGACCTCGCATCAAAGAAGACGGACATGCTAGTATCAAGAGTCTGAAACAGATTAAACCATGCAACCGAATTTGAGGTGTCGAACGATTATTAAAATGAATTTTAACCTTCTTCGTGTATGTCGATGCATCCATCGTTAGGCGCCCCCAGTAATTCATGGTGTCCACCGGGACACGCAGCTACTTGCTTTGAGTCGGTTTAGAAGGAAAATATTCAGTTCAAAACTGTAATCATAGGAGAGTAGTACAATCAAACATAAGGTTATGGTTTAATTTATGATAACTGATGAATTAGAGTAATGAATAGAAATTGAACAGGGGACGCTGAATTAGAATGTTTCGGTCCATTAAGCCGTATACAGTACAATATATTTAGTATTACTGTATGGTTAGGATTAATCTTAAGCTTAAAGCTATTAAACCCATACTTAGCATTTCTACTAGGTTTTAAGTATGTAACTTAAATCTTGACTTGGTTCCATGCAGTAGAGAAAGCTTTTCCATGAGAATGTTTAAAGAGAAAGTTCCAAATAAGCCATGATTGTAACTTTTCATGATAAAAGATGATTTATAGCTCGTTAAGGCTTCTCTGTTACCAGTAATCAGAGCACAGCTTTTTGTACGCTTTCTTTTCTACCATCAGATCAACCCATCTTGTCTTTCCCATTTTATTATTCCCTTTTTTCGAATTCATGAATATTGCTTAATGTTTGTTACCTTAATCAAATTATTTTGTTCCATGTTTGGAATTTTAAAATTTTAATAACTGTAATTTTTTGGTTATAAATTCTATCTGGTGGACACGGCACTGTAGGAAGTAGCACTCTTGTGAAGTTGAAGTGCGAGAATTCAAATACCAATGAGATAACCAGTCCTTTTACGATTTGTTCATTCGTTTTGATAATGAGACGTGCCAGAAAATCAAACCCGCATTAGTTTGCTTTTAAGAAATTCGCAAAAAAGAAGCCATCGACGGGTTCTCTAGCGAATGGTTGCTGATGGCATACGGTACCACTGGAACTACTTCACAAAGTATCTTCCCTTTTTACAGAAATGAACTTGGGGGAGGTGATTTGCTGCATAAAATATGGCCCAGTATACAGGATGAAAAATTAGCCTACGAGCTCGAAGGACTAGTTTGTTCCTTTATTTGTGTTGCTAAGTTCAAAATTTTGTCATAATATTTACAGCAAGAGCACCAAGGCTGCCCAGTGCGGGCGGCTCTCGTGTTAATGATGATACTGTGATGCCCCTACGATCCTGAACTGCATACTTCCAGTTAGTACTCATCGTCCGTTTGTTATATGTGTGCCACCAGTCACTAGTGTGTGGCGTCCACCGATTGTCAATAAGACGTACAAGATGTCCTGTCCCCGGATTTTGCTTTCCCGCACGGTCGCGACAAGAATCTTTACGCCGTTCATCTCGTAGAGATTCCGACTGCTTATTTAGCCACAGAGGATCTGGTTCCACTCCTGTCCCTTCCACAACCAGCGCTGGCCCTTCTAGACATCAAAATTTTGGTGATAACCTGAAAGATCACTGTGGAGATCCGGTACTTGCGATAATTCGTATGTCAACAAACTAAAATGCTATGTAATTTTGTCGC